ACAGTACCGTTGACTTTAATCACATCCTTCCTTTGATGGTAGGTGGTAGTTACAGTTGTGAAAAAAATGGCACAATGCATAGAGTCCATTGGTAGTGCCATGGTCATTATATAAGATGTCTGTGTACTATTGATAATATTTTCTTTTGGTTTACTGCCTTTACAAATAGCAATATTGTAAATGTGTTCCCCTTATGTGATACTTTTATTTTTGGTAGTGCTAGTCTAGGTCAGATTAATTATTGAGGAAACCCCCAGAGTAAGTGCCTCCTAGATACTATCCTTAAACAGACCTCCCATATAATGAATAACTATTAAACACAATTACATATTGCTGCTTTGTTTTATTTTGTTTTGTCATACCCATCCACCATTTTTCTGGGCATTTTATCCTAAACAACTTTTTTTAAAAATTAAAACTATAATTTCAAGATAAAACTTGGGACTTAAGACTGGGTTTGGAGTCAAATCTATTTTCATAATTGGCAGGAGACATGGAAGTAGTCAAAGATATAAAACCCCAGAACTCTTTATTGTCAATAAAACTACTGCAGATGTCCACCGGGTTTTACTGACTAATAGCCTTTCTTCCTTTTCCGTGTACTGCGGCTTTTCAGTTAAAATTTTATTTATAAAATGCATTTATTACAATTCTACCTAGAAAAGAAAATAGCTCACCTTCTTGGCCTTGGCTTTCTGTATTGTATAAAGCAGGAAGGGAGTGGGCACAGGATGTGTGGCCAAGTGAGCATGATTAATATGACGCTCTAGATTAGATTGTGCAGTTCAAAATACTTCTTGGAATGGTTTTCATGAGTCAGTATCTCACACTATGGTTCTGACTTATATGTAGCCTAGGGTGATCCCAAATTCACAGCAATCTTCCTGTCTCAGCCTCTCAAGTACTGGGATTACAGGTGTGAGCCATGATGTCCTGGGATTGTTTTTTGTTTTACATTTTTCAGGGATAGTTTATCCCGTAAGAGTGCTTGTTGCCCTTGCAGAAGATGCAATTTTGCTTCTCAGCATACATATTGGGTGGCTCACAACCAGCCCCAGGGTATTCAACACCCTCTTCTAGGCTTGATTACAGCATACATGTGGATGCACATACACACAGACATGCACATACACATAAATAAAAATAAAAAACAAATCTTTAAAAGTTACACTTTTAGTCATGTAAAACTTTGCTTGCTTTGGGTCTCTCCTGTGTCTTATGTTAGCTAGGTGAGTAGGCTAACCCTAAATGTCTCATCCTACTGAAATCACTCTTACTTGACTAAAACTATGCAGAATGCATTTATCTACTATAGAAAATGTGTCCTCTGTAGTTGGGATTTTCTTGGGCCTCAACCAGCTTCCAAATAAAGACATGGAGACTTGTTATTAATTATCAATACTCAGACTTAGCTTAGGCTTGTCCCACTAGCTCTTTCAACTTAATTTAACTGGTTTCTACTCATCTACATTTTGCCTTGGGGATTTTTACCTTTCTTTCATTATGTTCTACTTTCCTGCTTCCTCGTTGTCTGGCTGGCTGCCCTTGTGCCCCTCCCCCTCCCCATCTCCATGTTGTCGCTTTTTTCTTTTCTGCCCCAGACTAAATTCCTCCTCCTCCTTACTCTCCCTGTCCAGAAGTTCCACCTATATCTCCTCCCTCACTATCGGCTGTTCAGCTTTTTATTAGACCAATCAGGTGCCTTAGGCAGGCAAGGTAAAACAGCAACACATCTTTACATAGTTAAACAAATGCAATACATCTTTATATAGTCAAACAAATATTCTGCAACATTAACACATACAACACATCTTTACATAGTTAAAGAAATGAGACACATTTTTGCACAGTTAAACAAGTATTCCACAACAGTCCTCCGTAGGGACTGCACCTTGCACTGATAGCAGTTGTTGAATTTGGGCACATCCTGAATCCCGTTGGTTCTATAGCACTAAGAATACAATGCTTCTTTCAAAACATGCTGTTTCAAATGCCTTGCTATTTCTGTAAATATGTCTGCCTTTAAAAACACTGTTCTGACCCTGTTTCTTTTTCTTGCCTCTCCCTGTTCCCCCTCTATTCTTTTCTGCATCCCTTCCCCATCGTCTTCTCACCTCTGCCCTCTCCTTCCTTTCTTTTCCACCATCTTCCCCCTTTCCTCTTGCTTTCCTCCTTTTGTTTCCTTTTGCTTCCCCCATCTTTCCCTTTTCCTTGGCTCTCTCATTTCCCCCTCTCTTCCTTCTCCCTTTTTCCTCCTCCCTCTTTCCTTCATGTTCTCCATTTCCCATTGCCCTTCCTTCTTTCCCCTTCCTCTTCTCTTTCCTCTCCTTCCCCCTCCTTCCTCTTCATGTCCTTTCATTTCCTTTCCCTTTCTTAGACTGTGTCTTTCCTTGTAGCTCAGGTTGGGCTGCAGTTCACAATCCTGCCTCTGCGCTGGGATTATAGGACTGAGCTACCACATACGTCCTCCTCTGGCTTGAACCAAGCTTCCAGTTGAGACTATGTATTTGGAGATTGCTCAGCCTCACTTCCCTTCCACTGACAGGCATAAGCAGCCCTCCCAAATGTCTGCTCCAAAACATGCATTCCTTCATTGACTTACTGGAAGACACGTGTCATGTTAGACAGAAGGAATGACTTCTAATGCTTGAAAGCACGGGAGGGTCACAATAGTTGACAATTCAATACTGAATAATAGCTACTGGAGCAGAATGTTCTCTGCACAAAGAAATGATAATGTATCTGAAGTGATGAAATGGTCAATCAATCCAAGGTCACTTTACCCAACATAAGTATGCATTTGAAATGTCTCACTGTAGCCCATGTTACATGTCAATAAGAAGTAAAGAACATAGATTTTGACATATGCACTGTGGAAGATGTGTGAGATCTAGTAGTGAACATGACAGACATGTCCCTTGTCCTTTCCATGTGTCTAAAGCTGAAGATCAATTGGATGAGCAGTGGTAAGGCTGTTCAACAATAGAAGGCAAAAGACACAGTTCTGCAAGCTATCTGCTCTCATGCTGGGCTTGAACTCTTTGGAAGTCAGAGTTATCTAGATAAACTGGCATTACTTTGAAATCTGAGCAGAAATTTGAAAACAGGCATCAGCCAGGCAAAGATTAGGAAGAAGTGGATTTCAAGAGGAGGAGCTGGCCAAGAAGAGAAGGCATGGAGCATCAGAAAACCCACAAGGAGGGTATTCAGCCTGGGTGGACAGAATGGTATGGCCTGAGCCTGGAGAAGCAGGTGCACACCAGACTAGGATGGGTGTAACAGGTCATTATAAGGTTTGTGGGCATCTCTTACAACATTGAGAGTTTAAAGAGGGAACAAACATGATCCGATTTGAGTGGTTGAAGAGCTGGGCTATATCAAATGTCTTGGATGGAGGCCAGGACAGTGTCTGGGAGGTGGTAAGGTCCATGAGATGCTCCTGCTGTGGTTCAGATGAGAGCTGTGTAGACTCAGACTTGGCTGGTGCATTTACTCCAAGGGGAAGAGAACAGAGGGTCAAGAGTAGTTCCACCAGGCCCAAAGGGAGAAGACTCCAAGGAGACATTGAGAGTACAGGGGCTTGATGGGATGTGGGAGTAGAGGGTGTTGTATGCTTAGCAAGATGTGGAAGATACTCTTAATGGGTTGGATTGGGGAAAGAGTGAGGGAGGAAGAGAGGGAGAAAGAGAAACTCATTCCGTGGGAGATATAAAGAAACATAGGGCATCGGCAACAAGCCGATGAGTTTAATGGGCATAAGCGAGAGGCTGCTTACAGAAGCGTGGGTGACCCCAAACCAGTCATCTACTGGGAAGGGATAGCAGCAACTTCCATCGATTTGAAAGGTAGAGGCTGGAGGATCTCTGTGAGTTTGAGTCCAGCCTGGCCAAGACAAAACAAAGAGATCCTGTTTCAAAAAAGGAAAGGAAAAAAATAAACAGTCATATAAATGCTGCCTTCCCCACCCCAGTTTCTCAACTACCACAGGGTGGGGCGTGGAAATGCCAGGCAAAGGAACAACTGACACCCCTAAAACTCATGTAGAAATGCCAAGTGTGGAAGCTTGTGGTTGAAATCCCAGTGCTATGGAGGAGGAGACAGGCCCGCCAGCCTCACCTGCTTGGTGAGTCCCAAGAGGGGTGAGAGACCCTGTCTCAAAAAACGGGGTGGATAGCACCCAAGGATGTCTCCTGACTTCTACACACATGAGCGATCACGCACATGTACTGAAGAAATATTTCTACCTCTGCCTCACAAATGGGTAGAAATAATAATATGTATTAATTGCTGCAATAGCCTATAAATCCCACATTGACACCTGACTAAAAGCAGGTAGAGAACATGCCTTCAGAGAGTGGCTGAACATGCCTCCAGAGGGTCTGGAACTTTTCAACCTGCATTCTGTTTGGAGACATGGGTGCTCCAATGTGGTGGCTCATGCCTGTAGTTCTAGCATACAGGAGGCTGAGGACTGCCATGAGTTAGAGGCTAGCCTAGACTAAATACTGAATTCTAGTGCAGCCTGGACTACCAAGCAAGGCTCTGTCACCAGCTCCAGAACTGTTTCCTTTCCTAACCCAGACAGGTGGAAGATGCATACAGCACAGTGGTCCTGCCAACTTCTGTACTTTACCTTGGGAGTGCCAGTGGTTAGTGTCATTCTTTTTATATTCCCAGTGTAGAAACTTAGGAGAATCGGGAGGGGGAGCAAATGATCTCTCTTAAGACTGATTGGGGCCATCTACTCCTGCACCAGCCCATATGGGCTAAAGTCCCAATTTTGGAGTTTTCAGAAACATCCCTGGATATCTTCCCAGCAATTTCTGCACACAACACCCCCTCCCTTTACTTGCAAGGGTTTCAGTCTCTATAAACAAAGGAGACAAATATGTTAAACAGGTTCATTATCAGGTTAGAGCACCAGGGAGGAAAGCCTGCAAACTGTAAAGTCCACAGGCATACAAACAGGAAAACAAACAAAGAGAACTATGGAAACACTAAGGGGAAAAGGCATCTGGAGTCCCTGGGGAGGAGCATCTCACCAGGAGGAGCCAAAGTCCTGCATATATACAAGAAGCCCAGGGAGGTAACCGGCTCTGGGGTCCCCAGTGGGAGGGCATCGTTGGCCTCTGGGTTAGAAGTCCAAATGGACAGTGAGGAAGTCAGATTGCCATAGTGAGGGGCATGAAGTCAGGATGAGGGGAGGAGGGTGAAGGGTACTGAAGATACTCGGCAGATGGGAGAGAGAGAAGGAAAGGAGAGGAAGGAGCAAGAGAATAGTAGCCAGAGGGGGGAAATTTCTGGACACGTTCTAAGTTTAGAGGAGTGCTCTAGGGAGAGCATGCAAGAGTCTCCATGGAGACAGCTGGGAGGGCATCTTAGAGGCCATCCACATTCCACCAGGGCAGAGAGGAGTAGGAGGCTGTGATTCTCCTGAGCACAGCTGAAACCCTGTGTGTTCTGGAATAAAATGTCTTTAGCTTATTTTCATTTTGCCACACTTGAGTCACAGTTGGGGGTGGGGAAGTTCTCCCTGGGAATCCCCTTAGTAGTTCTCCAGGCTTGCAAACTAGAAAACTAGACGGCTCAAGGCAGTTTCTTTATCTGTGTAAATTTGTAGGTGAGTGGAGTGGACAAAGGGAAACTTCTAGGGCTTCCCTTGTCTTCCTCCTCATCCACCTCTTCCCCCTCCTTCACCCCTCTCCTCCTCACTATGTAACCCAGAGTGTCCTTGAATTCAACATGCAGAGCTGGCCTCAAACTCTTAATTCCTACTTTAGGCTCCTGAGTGCTGGAATTATAGCCACCTGCTATCATGCTCAATTTGTAGGATTTCTTGGTACTTAAAAAAAATTTTTTGTCAGCCATCAGATTATAATATAGCTTTTTTAAGCTTTTTTTAAACGCTTGCAATTTGGGAAGCTCTTTTTTATTTTTTTAAGATTTATTTATTTATTTATTATGTATACAATATTCTGCTTCCATGTATATCTGCACACCAGGAGAGGGCACCAGATCTCATAAGGGATGGTTGTGGTTGCTGGGAATTGAACTCAGGACCTCTTAACCTTAACCTCTGAGCCATCTCTCCAGCCCCATAATATAGCTTTTTTTAAGTGTTCTTTCAAAACAATCATTAGGCCCACTAAATAGGAACTCGGATTTCAATCAGGTGAAGAAATGCTCTGCTATGATTTCCCTGATCATTTGTTCTTCTGTTCTCTGGACACCCCACTGCAAGCCATAAGTCCAGATGATTCTTTCTGTTTCGAGGCTTGGTATTGACATCTTCTGCAGACCTCTGCATTTGCTTTATTTAGCAAACTTGTTTTGTTCTCTGCTTCCCTTTCTACTGCACCTGCTTTTGGTGTTTTTCTGTCAGCTTAGCGGCTGCACATGAGTCTACTGATATTTTAATTATCATCTGGTGCCCCACGACCCACAGTCAATGCCCTCCCTGTTGGCCTTGGAGGGCCTTTCAGTCCTGTGGCCCTGCTGCAGCGACAATATGTAGGTGTAAACCAAGTCTCTATCATTCTATTTACCAACAAAGTCAGATGTGGGGGTGAAAAACTGCTAGACCAGAGAAGCTGAGAAGCAGCCAGCTGACCTTGCTTTTTAGCCAGAGACCTAGCAAGAAATGTGTCTCTTCACTCATCCCTAAACCAAAAGAAAGCCCAAACTCAAGTCCCTGCTCTTTCCTTCCTTCTCTATTCAAATTGTGCTTCTCTTTGGCCAACTCCAGTCAGCTAGTCACAAGCTCTGCCCCCTGATTTAAGGTCAACTTTATTCAACACTGGAGTGTCACAGTGTGATCACTGCAACACGCTTTCCTTGGAGATTTCAAGAAAATGCTTAATTCTAAATTTCATCATCGCTATTAATTTAATGCTTATTGTATTAAATGTATTTATTCATATGTCTATTTATTTATGATTGGGTATTTTGTAGCTCAGGCTTACCTCAAAAGTCATTATACCTCAGGCTGGTTTTGAACTCTGGACACCCCTATCTCAGAAGTGTTGTGAGTTCAGGTGCACACCATCATGTCCCCTAACTTTTTTTTTTTCAATTATGGGTTTTTTGTTTGGTTGGTTTTTGTTTGTTTGTTTGTTTTTATTTCTGGTGCTCTGGCTCCAGCTCTCTCTGGCTGGAGATCTCACAATACCACCCCCTCCTTGCATCCCTTCCCAGCTCAGACATGGAGTACAGCTCTTTCTTCTGCAAATGGCACTGGTCGTATTCACCTTTGGTGGGACCTGAGGTGGGGAAGGCATGGCATCCCAGTCCTCTAGATAGTATCAGCTTGTTCCTAAGAGGCCTCCACCCTCACTGCCCATTCCAGCTGTCCTGAACTCAGATGAATCCCCAAGTCTTCTATGTTATTTTGGTGGATACACTAAGACAAAAAGAAATTGCAAAAACCTGTCCCCCTGTTTCAGAGAATTCAAACAATTCTGCTTTAAAAATAAGCATTATTAGAAATGGAAAATATGTTTTGCAAGCTTTTTCAGTTTCCATTATTAAACCCCTAGGGAGAAGCTGTATAATGAAGACTCAGCTTGTTATTTCCGGCTGCAAATTCTCTTTACATGCCTAGCCTTACTCTTGTGAGGAGAAACTAGACTTCTCTTTCTTTTCCTTTGTCTTTTTGCCTCTAGTTGGTTTATTTGAGGCACAATATTCTCCAGGAACTTGCTATGTAGCCAAGGATGACCTAGTGAACACCATCTTGCCTCCACCTCTCCAGTGCTGGGATTCCTGGCCTATGCCACCAAGCTAGCTGCAAGTTGTTTTTTGTTTTTTTTTTTTTTAGTTATTTTTTCCATTTTTAAAATTTGAATTAGAAACAAGATTGTTTTACATGTCAACCCCCGTTCCCTCTCTCTCCCCTTCCCCCCTGCCCCCCATCCCCAACTAACACCGTCCCTATCCCATACCCTTTCTGCTCCCCAGGGAGAGTGAGGCCTTCCATAGGGGGTCTTCAGAGTCTGTCATATCCTTTGGGATAGGGCTGGAGAGATGGTTCAGTGGTTAAGAGCACCTACTGCTCTTCCAGAGAACCTGGGTTCAATTCTCAGCACCCACATGGCAGCTAACAACTGTCTATAACCCCAGGTCCTGACACCCTCACACAGAGATACATGCAGGCAAAACACCAATGCACATAGTGATGAGCAAAGGGGGCAAGACCAGGCAGGGGAAACTCACAGAAAACTGACTTGAACAAGGGGGAGCTCTTGGTCTCCAGACTGATAGCTGGGAAACCAGCATAGGACTGAATGAATGTGGGTGTCAGTGAGGAGACCTCGGAAATCTCTGGGGCTTCTTCTAGTAGATCAGTGCTTATCCCTAACATAGGAATGGAGTTTGGGAGCCCATTCCACATAGAGGAATACTCCCTCAAAGTTGTTCTTAGTGATTACAGATGGCTCACAGTTATGCACCCTAGGACTTGCTTCCTACTAATGGCTTCCTGCTTCCTTTTTATTGTGCATTCTTATTTTTTAGATAAGGTCTTGCTTTGTAGCTAGGGCTGGCCTGAATCACATGACCCCCTACCTCAGCATCTCAAGGACAGGAATTACAGATGTGTTAACATGTCCAGCTCCAAGATTCTTGGTAAAGGTGAGACTCCATTTGGGTGTTGTGCTGCACACCTGGAATCCCAGCCCTTGATAACAGAGGCATCAGGATTGTCACAATTCAAGGCCACTCTGGTATACACCTAGTTCTAGGCCAGCATGGTATACATAGAGAATTCCTTGGCCAGCCAGGGATACACATAGAGAGACCCCTGTCTCAAAGAGTAAAAAAAAATAATAATAATAAAAACCAAGAGCGAAACTCTTAGAATTTATGAAGCAGGTTATAAATGTGGAACTTACAGTAATAAAATATGGACTCCCGAGTATGCTCCTCTAACACGGACTCCTAGCACTCCTCTCAGACTCAAATTGCCTGAGCCAGAGTTGTGTAACAGGGTTAAGTCCCCTTTCTGATAAACCAATCCTCAAACTCAGCCAGGGTGTAGTTGGTCAGTGTCCAGTGTTTTGGTGTCAAAAACCAGGAACTAACACTGAAATGTTGCAAAGCGAAAAACTTTTAGTTTTTTTACAGCTGGACCAAATTTAGTCTCTTCAAGATTAGGACAATGAAGTGGCCTTGACTAATGGTAAGGGGACCTTTTATACCGAGATGATTATAAAAGTGGATTTTGCAGTTAGCAGTTTTTTGTTTGTTGGTTTGTTTGTTTTGGTTTTACAAGACAAGATTTCTCTGTATAGCCTTGGCTGTTCTGGAACTAGCTCTGTAGACCAGGTTGGACTTGAACTCACAGAGTGTGCTTGCCTCTGCCTCCTGAGTGCTGGGATTAAAGGCATGAGCCTTTAGTTATTTTTTCTTTTTTAATTTAAATTAGAAAGAAGCTTGTTTTACATGTCAATCCCAGTTCCCCCTCCCTCCCCTCCTCTCCTGCTCCCCCACCAACCCCCATCCCATCCCCTTTCTGCTCCCCAGGGAGGGTGAGGTCTTCCATGGGGGATCTTCAAAGTCTGAAATATCATTTGGAGCAGGGCCTAGACCCTTCCCCATGTGTCTAGTCTGAGAGAATATCCCTCTATGTGGGGGTGAGCTCCCAAAGTCCATTGGTATTATAGGGATAAGTACTGATCCAGTACTAGAGGCCCCATAGTTTGCCCAGGCCTCCTAAATGACACCCATGTTCAGGTGGTCTGGGTCAGTCTTTTGCTGGTTTCCTAGCTATCAGTTTGGGGTCCATGAGCTCTCCTTGTCAGATCAGCTGTTTCTGTGGGTTTCTAAAACCTGGTCTTGACCCCCTTGCACTGAAACCATCTGGCCCTGGGCTTTTTTTGGTTGGGAGACTTTTGTTGACTGTTTCTATTTCATTAGGGGTTATAGGTCTGTTTAAATTGCTTATCTGTTCTTGATTTAATTTTGGTAAGTGTTATCTATCCAGAAAGTTGTCCATTTCCTTTAAATCTTCAAATTTTGTGGAGTACAGGTTTTCAAAGTATGACCTGAAGATTCTCTGGATTTTCTCAATGTCCGTTGTTATGTCCCCCT